TCACGGGAAGAGACAAATGAGGTGGAAGAGGCAAGGATGTGAGATACGAGGGAAGAGGAAAGAAGTGAGAGAAGCAGTGGCACACGAGGAAATAAAGTCCACGCAGGAATAGGTGAAACTAAGAAAGGATAAGGCAATGAGGAGACCACGAGTGAGAAGGAAAAGAGGCAAGTGAAAAGTGAGGAAAGCGATCAACTGTTAAAGCAACAAGAAATAATGGAAACAAGAAGCGTGCAATCAAAGGAGATGGCAAAGACGATGAGGAAGAATAGGAAGATAAATGGGGTACAACGTTAGAAGAAAGAGTAAGGGAGGTAAAGCGGCCCATATTAAAGGAATACAATGAGAAATCTTTCTCTCCGTTATCATGAGATTTAAAGTCACGCTTGTTGATCTCGTGAGTATCGGGCATGATCCATTAAGTAAACGTTACTTCTAGTGGAACAAGGAAAAAGAAATATCACTAGAAAGTAAAATGAAGTGCCAGTAAAGACTAGAACGTTCGGATTCCGTCTACATAAAAATAGAAGGAAATTATTTTGAATCCGTAATTCACAATTAATGCTCTAATATACGTTCAATTTACTCAGTCCCTCGACCATTAATCCATTATTAACGACTTGATATATAATACATATCTCATGCTGACAAATTCCCGTAATAAGGATTACATTAGTTTGCCTTTACGCTTTTCGTGCAGATCTAGGCGCAGATAGTATATATATTTATGTATGTATGTATATATATATATATATATATGTATGTATATTAATAAAAATAATAAATATTGCAATTCACCTTCACCGAGATTTAGAATACCTTAGTATCAGAAACGCTTGATTTGCACTAACCGGTTTACAAAGACCTCTTTCGACTAACACATAAGTGAAGCGGCACGCGACTGAAACCAAACTCCGAAAGTACTATTTTATACATCAATTTCCGCGTTTTGCTTCACGTTCAAAGTACGTATATGTAAATATGTCTGTGTACGCATGCAATACGTCTATTTTTAATCGTATTCCTGTTTCACTTTTAAAAATTCCTTCAGCTCGTTCAGCACTC